GGACAGGCAGAGCCCTAGGAGGGGCAGGTTACAGCTGGGCAGAGCAGGCTGGGGACCTGAGAGGCTGGGGGTGGGGGACACCATCAGGAGAAAGCAAAGGGGATGCTTCACCTGTGTTCTGTCACAGCAGACTGAACTTTCTCGAGACACTGTGTAGGAGAGACTGAAGCTCCCTACCCCCACCACTTTGGCTTCTTGCCAAAAAGTGTTATCTCCCAGACCTTGAAATAAACTGAGCAGCCAGAGGTGGGGTGACTCCATGGTACAGCCCGGGCCTAGCATGTGCCAGATTCCCTCCCCAGCACCTCTGAAAAACTAACCTTGTCCTTCTGATTGTCGCTGTGATGGACCTACACTGTCATTCACCCAGTGGGAGCCCAGGGCTTTCCTGTATATCTCATGCCATCCCTACGGTTGCCATTCTGTAGCTGAGGAAACTGAGGCACAGAAAGCTGAGGTCCCTGGCCTGAGGCAGCCCAGGTATAAGTGGCGGAAGAGGGCGATGGCTGAGAGCAAGAGTTTTTCTCCACTTCCTATGTTCTGTGCAGCATCCCAGCTCCTTGGGATCCACGCCTGATCCACACGTGTTATGGGTCCACAGTGTCTCCCAGCAAGGAGAGGCTCACAAAGTGGAATGTGAGCAAGGGTTGGTTGTAGTATGATGGGATAAAAGATGGGGGAATGGGAGCCGGAGTGAACACTCAAGATGGTGGCTCTCATCCTCCATTTTCCTACTTTCTAAGCTGGGAGAATGCATGCAGCCATGTCATCTAGTAAGCCCTTGTCATTGCCCAAGGTTCTAGGTAGCCAGGATGGGTGCTGTTTATTCTAAATCATGGCAATGTGATCTCAGCCCACCCGACACACAGGGGTTGTAGATGCTTACTTTGTAATTTAACATAGGAGGCACAAAAAGCTTCCTGGGTTTCTGGGTTGTTGTTTTTTCTTTTTCTTTGCTTTTGCTTTCTGGTTCTAAAGTCTCTGGTCCGCAACTTTTTTGCCTGCCTCAATAAATGCTGGAGCAGAAAAGGAGCCAAGGAAGCTGGAATTATGACTGCCTGACCCCAAAACTGCGCTAGGGAATGGCCCTCTGCCTCTCCTCCCTCTCCTGCCTTCTGGTCAACATCCTGGGCTTTTATGAGGCTCCTGGGAGGCTGGAACTGTGGCGCTATCACAGAAGAGCTGTGTCTGTACGTGAGGACAGGGACAGTGTGTGTGTGTGTGTGTGTGTGTGTGTGTGTGTGTGTGTGTGTGTGTGTGTGACAGTGTGTGTGTGTGTGTGTGTGTGTGTGTGTGTGCCGCCAGTCTTGAACTCAAGGCCTGGGTACTGTCCCTGAGCTCTTTTTGCTCAAATACTAGCCCTCTACCAATTCTTAGCCCCAGCTCCACTTCTGGTTTTGGGGTGGTTAATTGGAGATAAGAGTCTTCTGGACTTTCCTGCCCCAGCCAGACTTTAAACCATAATCCTCAGATTTTTGTCTCTTTGCCAGGATTACAGGGGTGAGCCACAAGTCCCTAGCAGACAATGGGTTCTTGGATCCCAGCATCCCATCCACTCCCTCTGTCCAGGGAGCCCCCTGCAGACTTGGACACTGTGCCTGTCCAGGAGACACAGCCCAGCCTGACCCAGCCTGCAGGTCTGTGAGGGACAAGCTTAATTACTAGTGTCCTCATAAATCCAAGGCCTATCTCTAACCTAATGGGCAGAAAGGTGAAAATGGCCTTCCTGGTTGTAAATGCCCTGCCCTCACAGGCTTTTGGCAGCTCATCTGACAGGAGGAGGCCTGGGTCTGGGGCTGAGGAGAAGGAAGAGCTAGCCAGGGCTGAGCTGCTAAGCTGCTACTCTGGAGGCCGGGTGGAGCCCCCAGAGGAGCTGCCCTGAGCCAGGGCTCCAGCTGGCTGGAGGCAGAGGGAATGTCCTGCGAGGTGACCCCATCGCTCTGTCAGCTCAAGGCCAGCCTGACAATTAGCTTTTCCTGAGAAACCCACAGGGCAGAAATTAAGGCCTGGCCCCAGGCCAGAAAGCAGAGATAAAGGCCCCTATGCCCTTTGACCCAGGAAATGCTCCAAGAAAAGGGAAAGACTGTATACAGGAAGTGGGTCAGGACTCTGACTCAGAAAAGGCTGCGGCTCCCTCAGCACAGAAAGCACCCCACAGACTCAGCACAGAAAGCACCCCACAGACTCACACAAGGGGTCGGAGAGCCTCTGCCTCTGTTCCTCCCAGTCCTGGAGACCCAGAGTGAGTCCTTCCATCAATCTGGCCTTCTTCAAGATCATGAGTGCTGTGATCCATTCGTAATGCCTGAGATAGGTACCAAATAAACATCTGGGCTGTTCACTGTTCCTAGTATTTAAAAGCACTTCCAGCTTTTATGACATTTTTTTTTGGGGGGGGGCGCTAATTGTAGAAAGGCTCATCATTTCAGAAAGTCTGTCTTTTTCTTCTTAAATACTTTGCTTGAGGCTTGCTTTGTTTGCTTTGTTTTAGGCTTGAGATGGGGTTGTACCATGTAACCCAGGCTTGCCCCTGAATCATTTTCTTCTCTTCCTCCTAAGTGTTGGGGTGACAGGCATGTACCACTACATCTGGGTATTTTATCAGTTGCCAAATAGACACCACTTTAAAAAAAAAAAAAGACAAAGATAAAGAGCTGGTGACTCACGCCTGTAATCCTAGCTACTCAGGAGGCTGAGGTCTGAGGATCGCGGTTCAAAGCCAGCCTGGGCAGGAAAGTCTGTGAGACTCTACTCTTATCTCCAATTAACCCCCAGAAAACCAGAAATGGCATTGTGGCTCAACGTGGTAGAGCACTAGCCTTGAGCAAAGGAGGCTCTCGGGGACAGTGCCCAGGCCCTGAGTTCAAGCCACAGGACCCACACACACACAAAAGACAAAAATGGTTTAAAAAAAATCATCATGATCCCATCAGGTAGGTTAACATGTAGTACATTTCCTTCCAGTTTTTCTCGGCTTTGACATACATCACATATGCATGCACACACCTGGAACCACAGCTACTATTATTGAGCACTGAGCACAGCCTGTTTGGCCTTCCAGCAATAGAGAGCTTACCCAGCATGTGTGAGATCCAGCAATACAAAATAAAATTGTTGTTGCATCCTGGGGCTTGAACCCCAGAGCCGACATGTTGTCTCTGTACACTTTTTGCACTCAAAGCTAACGTTCTACCACTTGAGTCACAGCTTCTGGGCTTTTTGGTAGTTTTACTGGAGATGAATCTCACAGACTTTCCTACCCAGGCTGGCTTTGAATGGCGATCCTCAGATTTCAGCCTCTTGAGTAGCTAGGATTACAAGTATGAGCCACCAGCGCTCAGCCAAAAAAAAGTTTTTATATGAAGGACTACTTTGTGTGCGCCTTGCATGCCATCTTGATGCTTGCTAAGTGTACACACATCCACGTCATTTCTTCTCAGCTCTCCCTTTGATCTATGAGTGTGGCCCACAAAGCCCCGATGTACCTGAGCAGGCAGTGACAGCATTGCAGGGTCCTGAGTCTGGTCCCAGCTCTACAGGGCTGTGTACTGTGATGTGGAAAGGAATGGGCTAGCCAGTTCCAGCCCTGGGTTCTATGACTTTCCTGGTAAGATGGTCCCTGGTCCCTGGAATTCCAAGTCTGTCAGTGTGATGGGAATCTCAGCTTCAGCCTTGGAGCCATGGGCAACAGGACCCCATGTCCCTTCCTAGGAGATGCAGACAGGAAGTCTGAGCAGGAAAGGGGAAGGAGGGGGGTGCCCAATTTATAACTAAAATTCAACACATTCATTGTAAAGCTCAGCGGCGCACTGGGGCTGTATATCACGAGGCTGCCATCACTCTCCAGTTGCGCTCATCATTACACAAAGCCTCCTTGGTCATTAGCAGTCCCTCCCCATCAGCCCTCCTCCCCAGTCCCAGCTCATCACTACTCTGCCTCTGTCTCCATGAATTTACCTTTTCTGGGTGTTTCATAGGTATTAGCCAGGGCCCTGCATAGCAGGGACTAGAAGAAGTGCTCATTTGATCAATCAATGAAACCACATCTACGTACCATCCAAGTAGGCTCTCTGTAGGTCTATGTGTGCATGCAGTGTGCTCTGGCTATATTGCTCAAGTTGGCTGCCATCTCTAGACTCTTTGCTTAGTTTCCAGTGTAACTGGGACTGTGCTAACCTGTGGCTTGTTAGTATCACTGTATAACCCAAGCTGTCCTTAAACTCCTGGTCCTCCTGCCAGCCTCCTAAGTGCTGAGATTCAGGCATGCATCACTGTGCCTAGTAAATACGTGACTTTTCCAATCTGTTTCTTTGCTTAATGTGTTTTCAAGGTTCACCCATATGATGGCATATTATTAGTGCTGTATTCCTTCTGGCTGAACAGTATTCTGATGCATGGGTATATTTTATCTATTCCATTTATCCTGTGATGGACATTTGAGTTGTCTCCAGCTCTGCGTGTTATGAATGCTGCTGCTGTGGACACGGTTGATGCATTCCATGTAGATCTGTGCTGTCATCTTTCCCAGGGATACTAGGTCCTGTGGTGACTCTGGTTAACTTGGAAGGAGCTCCAGGCTGTCCTTCCAGAAGGCTGCCACCTGCATTGTGCCCCCCTGGTGGGGCATGAAGATGGCCCCTTTCCCCAACATCCAGCCTGTGCTTTGCATACAGCCTTTGCGGCCCTCATGCCAACCCACGAAGTTCCCAATATTTCCTCCACTTTGCCAAAGGGGGACCCAGGGCTCAAAGGCATGAAGTGACCCTCCCCTCACATACACACCGGGTGCCGGATCAGGCTACCTTCACACCCACTTCACATCTACCCCTCACGCTGTCCGGCTCACTTGGTCACTGCTGACCAAGTGATCTTAGCCTGCTTTCTTCTCCAACCCTGGGCGCAGTGCTCCCCCCACCCCCGCCACCCATGCCTCACTCCAACCCTGAGTCCTGCACTCCAACCCTGTGCGCTGCCCTCTAACCCTGGGCACTGTTTTGCAGACAGGAAAGTTGGACCCTCACTACCCCAAAGTCTGCGGACACAGAGGGAATGTCTTAGACATCAAGTGGAACCCTTTCAATGACTTCCAGATCGCCTCCTGTTCTGAAGATGCCACAGTGAGTGTCACCCCAGCGGGCATGTGCACTTCAGCTGAGAAGAATGGGTGGGGTGGCTGGGGCAGGCGGGGCAGGCCTGGGAGGTGGCTGCTGCCCACTGGGCTCCACTGGGCTCCTTCATCACCTAGTTGAGGTTGCTGCATGGGGGGATGGTGTCAGAGATCACAGAGAAGTTCTGGGTGCAGTGAGACTTGGTAGGGGGCACACTTTCTCTCTCTAGGCCTTGGTTTTCCTCATCTGTAAAAATGGGTACATAGCTTCTGCTCATCTAATGAGACCTATCCAGATTCCCACCACAGATCCCACCACAGGGGTGGCTGTAAACTGTCATGAAAGTTGACAGAGGGAGACTTGCATGAACATGGACACCTAAACCATCCCAGAAGGTCCCAGTTTTTTTTAAGACTACAGTCTCAGCCAGGTATGGTGGCTCATACCTGTAATCCCAACTACTTGGAAGTGAGAATAGCACCAAGCTTTTTACCAACTCTCATGCATTCCTTCTCTATACCAAGGACATATTTCCAGCCCCGCAATGTTCAGTGTCAGTTACTTCTAATTCATTCTGTGCCTGCTTTTAATACAGTGGTTGTGATGTGTAAAGCAAAGGACATAGATGCAACCAAGAGATGAAAGTAAAGTCCATGCCATGGCTACTGTTTCTTGTGATTCCACCATACCCCTGACTCCTGTTACACTGCACTGCAGATCAGTCTTCCCAACAAAAATATCATACCATGTACAAGTCGTTATGTCAAAACGAACTTTACAACTTTGGTGCGGGGGGAGGGTTGGGGGGGGAGGAGGAGGGGAAAGGATGGGAAGGGGAAACAAAAGAGGAGGCTACAATGCTTGATAAGAAATGTACTCATTGGGCTGGGAAGGTGGCTCAGTGGTACAGCGCTTGCCTTGTATGCATGAGGCCCTGGGTTCGATTCCTCAGCACCACATAAGCAGAAGAAAAAGCCGGAAGTGGCGCTGTGGCTCAAGTGGTAGAGTGCTAGCCTTGAGCTGAAGAGCTGAGGGACAGCGCCCAGGCCCAGAGTTCAGGCCCCATGACCGTACCAAAAAAAAAAAAAGAAAGAAAAGAAATGTACTCATTATCTTGCCCATGTAATTGTAACCCCTCTGTACAGTATTTTCACAATAAAATTTTAAAAAAAACGAAAATATCATACCAGGCATTTTTGCTAAGGCAAAAAGAGAAACAAAGTGTTGCAAAATGCTTATTGTTTGATCAAAGGAAGCAGATTAGTTCATCAAGAAAGGAAAACAGAAGAGCCTGAGAAGACCAGATATGGTGGTACATGCCTGTACTCTCAATGCTAGGGAGACTGAAATGGGACCATGAATTTGTTTGTTTGTTTTGTTTTTGGGTCCGGTCGTGAGGCTTGAATTCTGGGCCTGGGCGCTGTCCCTCAGCTTTTCAGCTCAAGGCGAGCGCTCTACCACTTGAGCCACAGCACTACTTCCGGCTTTTTTTTTAATTATGTGGTGCTGAGGAATCGAACCCAGGGCCTCAGGCATGCAAGGCAAGCACTCTACCACTGAGCCACCTTCCCAGCCCGGGACCATGAATTTGAAACCAGGCTAGCCTACATACTGAGACCTTGTCTCAAAAAATACACAGAGGTCAGACACTGGTGGCTCACACCTGTAATCCTAGCTACTCAGGAGGCTGAGAACTGAAGCTTGAGGTTCAAAACCAGCCTGGGCAGGAAAGTCCCTAAGACTCATATTTCCAATTAACCATCTGAAAACTGTAAGTTGTGCTGTGGTTCAAAGTGGTAGAGCACTAGCCTTGAGCAAAGGCACTCCGGGACAGCGCCCCAGGCCTCAAGTTCAAGCCCCACGACTGAAAGAAGAAGAAAAAAGAGAGAAAATGGATAGGAATGGGGAAGGGAAGAAGAAAAGGACAAATGAGGGAGTAAAAAAGGGATGGAGAGAGTGAGAAAGGAGGGGGAAACGGGAAAAAGGAAGGAAGGAAGTTCTAAGAGAAGATGTGTTGGATTCCATGTCACCAGTTGCTGAGAAAAGAATAGCACAGTTTCTCGCAGGGACGGCTTGGGCTCAGCATGGGACTCCTGCAGGATACCAGGTTTTTAGCCCTGGCTGCCTTATGTACATTTGCCCTGAATGGTCTTTATTTCAGGCCCCATAGCCTGCCACTGTTCCTTCTCAGATGCCCCAGGAGAGGGGAAAGGACAGGAAAGACAGGACTGAGGGCAGCAGCCTCCCCCCTGCCCCCCCCCGTCTGAGGTCAGTGCTGCTTTAGTGTCAGGGAATGCCCATAGCCAGCCATGAGCAGTGACCACCCTCACCAGTTAGGTGTGAGTGGCATCTGGCCACACTCCAGGGAGAGTTCACTTCCTAGTTTTAAAGCCAAGATGACCCAGAAGGAAACGTTGCTCCACTGGAAGCAAAACTGTCTCCCTGAATACCTGCGCGTGACACTGGGGCCTGAGAACCTTGCAGGACCATAAGGAACATCAAAATAGCTCCAGCTCCCTCTGTTGCCTCCCTGGGCCTAACACTACGCCTTGGTATTCCTCCATGCCTGGCGGTCAGGACAGCTCCTTCCATCTTCAGATTATTCCACTCTGGAAGGAAGTCTCAGCCTGGCCTCCTGGACTTTAGTTCTCTCCCTTTTCCGGTCATCCATGGACATGTTTATCCCTGCCCTGCCCTGCTCTACAGCCTACAGTGTCTCTCTTAGTGACCGGAACACAGACCCTTCATGCTGGCATTTGAGATGCCATGCCATCTGGGAGATAGGCTTGCAGCCCACACACCAGCCCCTCAACTTAGGCCATCATGGTGGCAAAGGCCCCCGGGGCAGACTTAGAAACAAAGCCTCTTCCCTGGCCAGCGTTCCACTGGTACTCTGAAAGGCCCAGCTGCCCCTCTGCTGAGGGTGGAAGCCATGGAGAGTGCTGTCCTAGTCCTTACAGAAGACACTGCCAGATCTAAGACAGGCTGGTCAAGGCCCCAGCCTCACCGTCCCTGGCCCATGTCTCTCCTGGCAGATTAAGATCTGGGACATCCCCAAGCAGCTGCTGACCAGGAACCTCACAACCTACAGCAAGGAGCTGGTGGGCCATGCACGCAGAGTGGGCCTGGTGGAGTGGCACCCTACTGCCGCCAACATCCTCTTCAGTGCTGGCTACGACTACAAGGTGAGTCTGTGTGTGCTGTCATGACCCATCACTACAAGCCAGGAGTTCTCACGGTGGTAGAGACTGGAGATCCAGATTCAGCTGCCATCAGAGGCAGAGGGAGACCCCTACACACCTCACCTAGCGTCCATTTGGTTCCCTGCCCCCTGGGCTCCACTGGGCTCCTTCATCACCTAGTTGAGGTTGCTGCATGGGGGGATGGTGTCAGAGATCACAGAGAAGTTCTGGGTGCAGTGAGACTTGGTTTTCCCCATCTGTAAAAATGGGTACATAGCTTCTGCTCATCTAACAAGACCTATCCAGATTCATGTTCCTGTGTCAGATCCCATCACAGGGGTGACTGTAAACTGTCACGAAAGTTGACAGAGGGAGACTTGCATGAACATGGACACCTCAGTGTGCTCTCTTGTTTATGAGAAAGCTGCTGTTGGATTTAGGGCCCACCCTGATTTATCATGACCACACTTTAACTACATCTGACCCTATTTCCAAATAAGGTTCTACATGAAGGGTCTAAGTGGACATGTCAACCCTTTATAACCTGTCTGCCAGAGACAGGCTGGGCCCTCCAAGACTCTTCCCCTATCCTGACTGCCCAGCAAGCAGTCAATGGGCCGTGGAGAGTGGGACACTTCACAGCCCAGGAGGCGTGGGTGCTCCCCATCCCTGCCTCTGACTCACCCCTTGGAATGCAGCCCAGCCCTCTGGCCTCCCTGGGTCTCTTTCCCAGTGGTTAGGTAAATCAGGTCATTGGACCCCCAGCATTGGTTTCTCGGCCCTTCTATTTCCATGCGAGTTTGCAGCTGCACCTCAGGGGCTTCTGTGGTAGATTTGGAGGAGTGGGAGCTGTCCCAGGGAGCTCTGGCTTTCTGCAGCCTTCTGCTCTTTATGTGAGGTATGTCTACATGTCCAACAGAGGTATTCCATCCCCGCCTCCGGGGGGCGCTACTCACACACACACTGTGGCTATGGGTTGCCTTGGAGATGTGCAGAGCACACAGCCTGTGCACCTAGCCATGGCAGCCCTGGTTAGCCAAGTAAAGTGAAAAACACTTCTAATAACGATTCGAAAACTGGATCATCTGGTCCCCTGGGGTCCTCCCAGCATGGGCAGAGAAAGATGGTATTGATCCTCCACTTCAAGCCACTCTGCCTCCAGCTTCCACCCCATGCTGTGGGCCAGGCAGCCAGCTACACACACACACACACACACACACATGGGGGGGGAGGGGATACTGTGTGTAACCCTGTGAACTGTGTGGGTCAGGCCACATGGGGGGGAGGGGATACCGTGTGTAACCCTGTGAACTGTGTGGGTCAGGCCACATGGGGGGGGGGAGGAGATACCGTGTGTAACCCTGTGAACTGTGTGGTTCAGGCCATGGTGCTCAGATCCAGCATTCTGTCATGGCAGGTGATGATCTGGAACCTGGATACAAAGGAATCTGTCATCATGAGCCCTGTAAAGACAATCGCATGTCACCAAGACGTCATCCTCTCAATGTCCTTCAACACCAACGGCAGCCTGCTGGCTACCACCTGTAAAGACCGCAAGATTCGCGTTCTCGATCCCCGGTTAGGGACCGTCCTGCAGGTCAGTGCAGGCTGAGGAGACTCTGAGGGAAGTGTGCCGGGACTGCCATGGATGGCTGGGCTAGGCAGCATAAAGAAAGATGGGCCACGCCCACTTTTCAGATAAAGAAAATGAGACCAAAAAAGAAGTGACAAACCCACATCAAGCTGCAGAAGTTGGTCAGGATGCCTCAGCTCTGTTCTAGGTTGCTGTTCTGGGTCAGGAGACCGAGGCCCTACTGAGTCCCTCTTAGGCAAGCACTCTGCCCCTTTCAATCCTTCCTCATTGAGGATCAGATTGGACACGCTGGGTGCAGTGCACATCCAGCTCTGTGCCTTGCTTGGCATAGGTGCCAGGCAAGTATGCTTGGCATAGGCTTTTAGCACATATGAATCAGGACAGAGATTGCCTATCCTAGCTCAGAAACACCAACTTCCAGCCAAGAGTGGGGAAAGACTCTACATGGCTTCCTGGAGGTGGTGTCCCCCTGAGAGATGGTCTCCAGAGGGCTGGGTAAGAGAAGGAGGCCAGAAGCCCCAGCTGCAACCAGGAGCCCCATGCAGGATCCCCCTGAATTGACATACATGTCCCTCCAGGAAGCCAGCTATAAGGAGCACCGTGCCAACAAGGTGCTGTTTCTGGGGAGCATGAAAAAGCTGCTGTCCACAGGCACATCCCGTTGGAACAACCGGCAGATGGTCCTGTGGAACCAGGTGAGTCTCCGCACCCTCCTTACCCTTCCCACCACCCTCAGCCTCATCTATCTGGTATGCCAGATAGGCCAGGGACAGGAGAGGTCAACAGCCCATTGGCTTTACCTCTTGTCATTCAGGAGGGAGATGGGCGGGGCCCTGGGGGGAGAAAGGCACAGCTGGAGACAGGCCCCCAGTGCACGGCTAATAAGCTGAATGGATGGGCAGCTGAGGGAGAAGGTTGCCTGGCAGTGCTGTCTGGAAGGAGCACTTGGCACATACTTCAGAGACTGGACAGAACCTTCATCCACCCAGATGAAGGAGAAAATAAACTCAGAGCAGGGTAGAGATATGTGAGATCAGGTAAGCCAAAAATGGCTTGCTAGCCAGGTGCTGGTGGCTCACACCTGTAATCCTAGCTACTCAGGAGGCTGAGATCTGAGGATCACAGTTTGAAGCCAGCCTGGGCAGAAAAGTCTGTGAG